CTTCCAAGGTTCAGCGGCAGCTCTTGATGCTTTTGATGTCTGTGCCCTTTTGTAGTGATTGATCTATTGATCGCTTGGATTTTGACCTACCGTCGTCGTAAACGATAACTAGATATGATATAACAACTAGTAAACTGCAAACAGATTGCAACATGTGCCCTTGTGTTTCCTTTTGCTTCCTTATTAATCCCGGTCGGGTCTCACACTTTACATCCATGACTGACGCTTTTGGCTCAAGCTCACGGAAAACAACCGCTTGCTTAAATAGAATCAGCATGACTATACGTTCGGTTTCCGACCCGGTCATTACAATATGTGATTGTTTTATATCGGTTGTGCAATATTGTGCTTCTCTCATCTCATGCTCTATCCGCTGTAACTCACTCTTGCTCTTAAGTCAGCCACGTTAGCACGCATAACGGTGACAAAGGCCTTAGATGGCGCAACTTAGAACATCTGTGGCCTCTTGCTGATGAACTTTCTGAGGCCTGAGCGACATGATCGTCCACCCGGACACAATCGCCCATATTGTCCGGTTTTTCGACGGTGACCAGGTCCTGCCCCGTTCGCGACTCTCATTCAACTGACTGACTGATCAATCGTGTTGAGAAGCTACGTCGGCCGTCTCCAGCGCTGTGTGGGTCCGTCTCTATAGTTCTCTACAAGTTATCCTGCAGCTTTGCAATGCTTTGCATGGTCTGCTTTGGAAACCTCTCCTCGGGTTGCAAAGCCGCAAGCCGTATTGCCCACCAGCCAAGGAAGTGCACTTCGACAGTTCCACCTTAGTCTGACTCTTGAATCACCGCTGTGCACAGGAAGCTCTCAGATCCAGTGCAAGCAGTTGCTTTGGCAGCGAAAGACACATGCTCCAAGTGGCCTCCCTGAAGCTCAGCTGCGACTCGAAGAAGTGCCTCCTGGCTCACAAAGATCTGGGGATGTGACAAATGCTGTTGTCAGAGTCAACAATATGGGGATGGGTCAAAACCCGGAGTCCTTGCCCACCATGTAGGTTGACCTCCCAGGTAGGTCAACTTAGGCCAACCAAGGTATCCTAGTTTTGACCCGGAGCCATATACTACAAGTATCTATATCGTACTGTATCTAGAGTTGAAAGTTGAAAGCATCATCTAGCAAAGCACTATGGCACTGTGGTTCAATGATAGTCTAGGTGTTCTGCTTCAGACAAACTCTGTTCGGCAAGAGCATTCCCTGCAAATCCTTTCAGAATGCAAAGCTTGTCTAGGAACAGTACCAGTATCATCATTGTCTATATAAAAGTCACTAATCCACATATCTGCTCCCAAATTTGCAAAATTTGCAAGAAGCGACAGTTCCCAGCTCCAGCTCCACAAACCCTTTTGGCTGCACAGGGGTCGCTCGCACCAGTGCACTTCTTACACAGGTGTGCTCTGGAGGACTCCAACTCAAGGCCTTCGATAACAGCACATGCCACGTGGCCAGCTGCCACATCATGTGCACGGCAGAAACCCAGGAAGATCACATGCACAACTTCACTTGAAAGAGCGCAACAAACGGTCATGATCCATCCCGCTTCACTGCCAACCACAGTTCTTCCGATGGTCAATGAAGGAACTGTGCCCGTGCATAGGGAAGGTTCTGCCTTTCCTGCTTTCCTGGCTACAATGACAAGACAACTGCTTTCTCGTCTCAAAGATGATGCGAATGAGACAAGGACCAAGGGCTAGAGCGGCTCTACAATCTGTGTACAAACCACTGCAATTGACGGCTCGGCTGGGACTGCAGAACAGTGATTCTGATCTTCCCCAAAGCTTTCGAAATCCCCGCGCACAAGTGCAATTGATACATGTTGCAACTCACAAGTGCAAAACACTGGAGAGTGTACAAGTCGATTCTAGACATGTTATATAGCACAGTCCGAACAATCCCAGCCTTGTCAAGTTCAGCAGCTCAGCTTTTCAAAGATTTGGAAAGCGGAAAATCTGCCATTCAGCCAACACAAAGAGTTTGGAAGATTTGAGGTCGCTGGGTTGCCACTGATGCCAACCCCTTGGCTTTGATGGCGGCAACCCTTGGTCGCAGCTACTCCTTTGACAGCTGGCGCTTCCGTTGATGCATTACAAGCGCATTGACATCGCCTGTCAAAGCTTTGAGGCCGAACGGCACATGCGATACAGTGTCCACGAAAGAATGTGCTAGTTTTATGAAGGACAGGTTCTCAAGGGACCGTGAATTCATCACATGGCCATGCGGATGGATCCATGGTCTTGCGTGTTGAAACTCATCTTCAAAGTAAAGCAATCAAGACAGGACACTCACGCAAACACCCCTGCCCTCCCGACGTCCTCTTCTTTCAAGGCTTGTGCATAATCGATGTTCTGCTTCATGGAGTCACTGGCTGGACAGACTTCCTGTGCATCCTGAAACGCCTTGGCTTGATTTGAACAATTTCATCTACACGTACAAAAATGCGTACATGTGCACATAGTCACATAGTGTTGGTAACGTTGTCTTGCGTTTCCTGCAAGTCTGTTTCTGCTTGAGAGGAAGGAAGGGCGTTCCTCTACGAATGACTTCTGCCACACTCTTCTCAATGACTAGCACACCGTCTTGATAGCCTATCAGTCTTGTTGCAAAGGCATGACAAAACTAAACAATTCTGGCATTCCTGCAAGTCAATACAGATGATCAAAGTTAATACCTATGGTCTTGGTCATCCGCAACAACTCTACTCCGTCCCAAGTGCGAGGGACGGCCATCAAGGCCGCCAAGGCACGTCGATGGCATTCTGGAAACGCTGCAACTTCAAATACACCAAACCTGCGACGTCCAGCAATGGTCGTCTCTGGATGTCTGAGCACTTTTTGCTATTGATTTTTAAGTACTTATGATCAAACAACAAACAACTCAACAGGATTCTTTCTTGTTGAGACATTTTGAGCTGGAAGTTGCTCCACCTTGACATGTATGTCTTCCTCATTCATCAGCCACTTCCACTCCCTTCAAGCGGCGAACCTTTGCCGGACAAAGCTCCGAAATGCCGTGGTTGAAGCTCCAAGGTCTGCGACAACGACCCCCGACCCACACTGCGGCCATGGTTCTTCGATGTCAAAGCAACTGCCCATCACTTCTTTACATGTTTTGGTCCTTTTCAACTAGCCAAACAAGCGGGAAAATGTTTCAGGGATCTCGAGGTCTTCAAGCTTGGATAGTTTGCTTCTGCATGTCTTTTCATTCCTGTCTTGGATTGCAAAAAAGAAATGTGTGCACCAGCCAAAGCCAAACCCTGGGTCAACAACAATTGGCATGATCATTTAAAAAGGGCAAGGCTGACCAACGCATGTGCACCTTGTCAATCTCTTTCAGGGAATAGTTGTAGTTCCCCAAAAGGTAATCGACCTGTGTGCATGCACCCTCAAGAAATGCAAGATGTATAGCACAAAACCATTGTAGTCGTAGTGAATCTAAATCATGGTCTCGAGTCTCTGTAGTGACATTCCGGACTTCCCATTGGAATATATATTCACCAAGATACGGTCGCCAAGCGATTCCAGGCTTCTGCCCAAGCAGGCTCCAAGGTCGCTGCATGCAGAAAGCCTAAGACCAGTGTACCAGCAAAGTATCCCATATTGTCGACAGAATCGACTAGACAAACAAGTCGACTCTGCACGTTGGCAGCTAGCAGCTAGACCCTTGCACCTTGAGCTGCTTAGACTTAATTGACCAATATGAAAGTAGGACTGCTACATGACATGCCTCTCCTGATGCTCATTTATATATAACTGATCTATCTTCTTGCCATGTTGCATTGTTTGGCCATCTCCAGTTCGCCTTCATCCATCAGATTTGACCCCTCGGAGACGAGGGTCTGCGCCACCGGGTTCTCATGATAAAACCACGTCTGCCACCTTGGAAGCTGGGCAGCTTTGCACCAAGTGCACTCTTGTCTTCAGTGTAAACTGATGAACTCAGAGCAAGAAACTCTACAGTTCTACAGCAACGATGGTCCAAGAAAAGAACCCGTTCAACTCAAGCAAAGCCAAGCTCACCCTAGCAAATATGTAATTATATACATATGCAGTTTATATTTGTCTATTTACTTATATAGTCCTTTTTGTGCTTACGTTTTTTTTATAATATGTTTGTATCATTATGTGTTATGTAACATTGCTGCCTTCTTTTGTCTGGTGCCACCTTGTCACCAGTTGTAGATACGCATATTTTGCATAAATTTTATCACGTCTGGAAAGACAAGACGATGCATTCTTCCAGGCCTCCTTCTGAATTGAAAGATTATCGGGCAATGTTCAAATGCCATTGTTGTTTCACATCCTGGGCACAGCAAACGCTCCAAACTCCAGGCTCTTGAAGACTCCGCCGCAGCAAGTTCATCCAGCAGTCTCTCAGAAAGTTCGGCCTGCCGAAGCCGACTTCAGCTTGGATTGGCCGTTCAACATGGTTCAACAGAAAATATGACAAACAAAGAAGCAAAAGGGTCTTACTTGAACTTACTGTAAACTACAGCGACTAGGACAATCGACTCTATTGCAATTAAAGTCCGTTAATCATGTCAGCAACGCGTGAAGCTACTCTCTAATCAAGAAATAGCATGAACGATTTCGGGACGTATTGGGATTCCTTCGACCACCTTCAACAGTCTAGTCTACATCCTTTGACCATAAAGTCGCTTGGAGCCACATGGCCCTCAGCGATTTACACTTCAGCCTGCTTGTGGTCATTCAAGACCGCACAAGCTCAAACGGCAAGTCTTGAATTACAATAAGTGTTTCCCCTGCCCTACCGTGCTTGGACGCAAGAATAATAACGGTTCACTGCATCTTCGTGACTCGATTCCGCACTCTGCTACAACGGTCACATTGCGCACCTACCGATGTTAGATATGTTAGCAACAAGTGCACAACTTGAAGTCCTTCCAGAGCCAGCCTGGTCGAGGGTGCTCCGCAGTGAGTGCACCAGTTTAGAAAGATCCTTCAGTGGAGCACCCACTCGTGTCTCACGAATTGAGGTAGTTACTGTCCGCGACCTCAGATTGTGAGTGAAGGGTTGAAGGGAGCTGCTGGCACCTTCAAGCAGCAAAGCAAAAGGAAAGCAGGGCAGTCACAAACCCGAGCATCAGCCCGAGCATCTCGAAAAAAAAATGACATGTCCGCCAAAAAGTGTAAGTGCAAGTGAATATAATACAGCAAACAAATAAATGCTGCATTGTCGTGGCGATTCCTTTTTTCCTCACATCTGCACTTCGCAAAGCCAGCAGCACTTCGCCTTCGCCTCGGGAAAACTTTCCGCCAGTGGTCTTTTTCACAGCCTTCTGCCGAATCTGTTCTACGAGGGCTTCACAAAGCTGATAATGATAGCAAATAGCTACTAGTATTTGTTTAAACATACTGGTAGATGAACGGGCTTACCGCTGGGGGGCCTGATCTTGGAATGACAAATTCAAGGCCCCCAGCCTGTGGTAGAGAAAACTGTTCTTAAATTTTTCCATAATCAATCACTCAGCCATATCGAGAACAGAGTACAGTAGTTCATTACAAAGTCCAAGACCCCTGGGCACAAATGTGCATGCATTTTAGCTTTACAAGTTCTTTCACCCCACCCTTCAAAACACTAAATCAAGACCCCCAGGGTCCAGAATGCAAGAAAAAAAACTCCCTTCAAACTGCATGAATATCCTGATCTGAAACGTGTCTGATATATTCTCATGGTCTCATGTCAGTCCAGCTCAATGAATGTAATTGAGATGTTTGAGCATCCACCATCACTTACAAAATCGAGACACCCTTCCTCTGTCTGCACAGAATCAAAGCATCCAGCCCAAAAAATGTTGAAAACACACCATCCAACAATTCATGATTCGCGTCCACAAAGTCATGGCACCCACTCTGAGTTCATCCAAATGCAAGATCGTTACAAATTCAACCCCCCCAGACTCTGATTTCGCAAAAAAAACCTTTACAAATCAGTAGTGGATTTGACACCCTAGGGCGTTTGATTTTGGAAGGGATTTAGTTTCAGGTATGCTTAAACTATATACTAATAGGAATGGCCTCCACCCTAATAGCGATGGCCTCCACCTAGTAGGGTCCTTGCTACTGGTAGCGTCCTTAGGGCATATCCATGAGTTCCGCCATTGGGAAAATTGGTCTATGTTGATTAATCAGTATTCCACTGGTTGCGCTGTTTATGCTCGGCAACGAATTGATATTCCTCCAACAGTACGCCTTCTGCAAACATTGCACTGTGTTGAAACTATTTCTGCAGACATTCCAAATGACCTGCTCCATCCTGTTCCTGTTCTGGAGTTGCATTGAAGTCCACTCTCCCATTCAGGTCTGAGAACGCCACGGAAAGAGACGCTGCAACGCTCCAAAGCCTGCCGCGCGTACCGCTGCAGCTGGCGCGAGGGACTCATCAGAAGCCTCGGGTTGTGCCCGATCGGGGCTAATCTATGTTCATTCTGTTGCACTAGACTATATTCATCTATATATATATATTCGAAAGCTTGCACTTTGGATGTTGGTTCTTTCACAAAGTAGCTCACTAAAGTTAACCAAGCAGTTGGGCTACAAGCACTTCCCGGGCAAGCCGGCGGCGGAAGTTTCCTATAAAAACCATTTGACCTCCCTTCGCACATGCCCTGCGGACCCCCTTTTTTCCCGGCCCGCAGCGATGGCGTCGTGCAAGCAGCCCACAACGGCGTAGTCGCTCTGGCACTGTGCATGCGGGTCACAGTCACACCACCGCACGTCGGAGTGAATGTAGTTACACAGGACTCCGAATTTGCGTGTAAAACCTCTCATACATGCGCAACCAGTCTTAACAATGAGTGCAGCCAAAGACTGTAAGTATGCAACTGCGCCAAAAACTTCAACCATAAGTACAAGCTGACCTGTTAACAAACTAGACGACAGGGTGGCCCGAAAGCATAGTAGGAGTAAGCATTATAACGAAAGGGTGCCAAACCAAAACGACGAAACTGAGGGAGGAACCGTTTGTCGGTAACCACCAATCATCCCGCTCACCAGCGACACACCGCGTTTACACCAGCATGTTTCGCGCTCCCCAGTGGCACGGTGCCACGCAAACGCACTTCCCACCAAGGCCGTGCAAATCCGCATGGCACTGCGACATCACGAACGTAATTTCACCTCACGGTCTGCCACACACTATAGAAGCAAACATATCACACGATACCACCAATCATCCCGCTCACCAGCGACACGCCGCGTTTACGCCAGCATATTTCGCGCTCCCCAGTGCACGGTGCCGCAAACGCACCTTCCACCAAGGCCGCGCAAATCCGCATGGTATAGCGACATCACAGACATAATTTCGCCGCACCGTCTGTCACAGACTAAAAAAAAAACACTTCTGAGTCCAGCTCCGCACCGCTGTTTCCTGTACTACATTTGCACTACAAACTGGCCACTTCTGAGTCCAGCTCCGAAAAGCTCTTTACTACAAACTGGCCGCTTCTGAGTCCAGCTCCGAAAAGCTCTTTCCCGCACTACATTTGTACTACAAACTGGCCACTTCTGAGTCCAGCTCCGAAAAGTTCACCAAGATCTGCACTTCGAGGTTCACCAAGTGCTGTGCCTGCCACGAAATCTGCACTTCGAACTTCACCAAGCGCTGCACCTGCCACGAAATCTGCACTTCGAGGCGCTGCGCCTGCCCCGAAATCTGCACTTGGAGGTTCACCAAGCGCTGCGCCTGCCACGAAATCTGCACTTGGAGGTTCACCAAGCGCTGCGCCTTCCACGAAATCTGCACTTCGAGGTTCACCACAAGCGCTGCGCCTGCCACGAAATCTGCACGTCGAGGTTCACCACTTAAGCGCTGCGCCTGCCGCGAAATCTGCACGTCGAGGTTCACCAAATGGTGTGCCTGCCACGAAATCTGCACTGCGAGGTTCACAAAGTGCTGTGCCTACCACGAAATCTGCACTTCGAGGTTCACCAAGTGCTGTACCTGCCACGAAATCTGCAGGTTCACCAAATTCTGTGCCTGCCACCAAATCTGCAAAGGAGCCACATGTCCAAAAGTCACGATTCACTGC